AAAGGCTAGATTAGTGTGGGTGGGATGCGACCCCACGACCTGATGCAATTCAGGTACATATAGCTAGCAAATCAGCCAACTGATGTTTGACGTCTAATGTGCGCAATTAACTTTATATAAGAGGACCGCACGAACTAAAATAGAAATCAAAACCGGAATAGAGTCGCAAAAAGGTGGAAACCCTGGTTCGACCCATCCGGCCACAATGACACACAAAGAGATAAACACAATTTATCTTATGCATTCTTTTTTCTTTCTTTCTATGTAAGAAAACAACTTATATTTTCGATAAAAGTAAATATAGTGCAGAATGAATGCATGCATTTTTTATGGACAAATCAACCAAATTTCTGTTTGATTTCGAAAATTATAAAATGAGAAAATATAGATAAAACAAAATATAGTGCAGAATAAATGTATGTTTTCGGACAGTGCAACTAAATTTTTGTTTGAATTCGAATGATTTTAAATTAAAAAATCTAGATGACATAAACTATACTGTAGAATGAATGTACATAAATTATTTTGGACAAATCAACAAATATTTTGATTGAATTAGAATAATTTTAAATTTTGAAATCAAGATAAAAGAAAATATAGGTTAGAATGAATGTACATAAATTTTTCGGACAAATTTTTTTTTTTAGAATTTTAATAATCCAGATAAAAGATAATATAGTTCATAATGAATGTACGTCAATTTTTTTCAAACAAATCAATAGAATTTTGTTTGAATTCGAATAATTTTAAATTGGAAAACTATATAAAAAATATATGCCGGTATAAATGTATGTAATATTTCCAGACAAATCAACTTAATTTTGGTTGAAATCTAATAATTTTAAATTATAAAATCCAGAAAAAGAAAATATAGTTCAGAAGGAATGTACGTAATTTTCTTTAAAACAAATCAACGGAAATTTTGTTTGAATCTGAATAATTTAAATTTGAAAATGTTGAGAAAAGAAAATATATAGTTCTAAATGTGTACCTTTACCCTAAAGGATATATACCTTGGTAGTCCCTATATAAAACAACAAGCAGGATCAGGTGGTGTGGTTTATACGCTAGTGCTATTACAGGTAGTCCCCATTTCGAACTCCCTCCTATTTGTCCAATCCAAATTATTTACAACCCACACTGATGGGTAGGACCCAGCGGGAGACTATCTTTAACATTACCTCTGTTGGAGGGTTTTTGTACGAAGTTAAAAAAAGTTGAGGGTGTTTTTGCAAAAGCTATCACACGCCCAGTGGTCCAACCGCTGACAATGGGCCCTGGCCACACTGACATGCCACGTAGGCAGTGATTTGCATGCCCACGCAATTTTACGAACCAGAAACACGTATTTTGGAAGTTTATGCATCAAACTGACTGTCGCGTGCAAGTTCTATGACTTTCGGTGTATTTACCTCCCAGAAAAATGGACGTGGGGAATGTGAGGGTGGTGTGGAGTCCAGTCGAGCCAAGTTTATTTTAGGTCATCCAGTCCAGCCATTTTTTTTAGATCATACTCCAACCAAGTTTGAATGAAATAGCAGGATCCACCAAATAAAATTCCATCAGAACCTACTGTTCTTGTCTTTTTGCAAGTTCAGAAAATGTTTAGTGGCATAGACGTTCATGGGTGTAGCCTCCAATTACGGCACATCTATCAGTTTGCTGTCCATAAGGCTCACTTTTGGTTAAACACGGCCCATAATGCTCATAATTTGGAAGGGAAGTTGCTTTGGATGCTCGGGGTTCCTATATGGCG